TGCCAGTATTCAGAGCAATAATATTCTGAGTAACTACCATAATCTTACAATTAATATCTTATATTTAAACCATTTGTATCTAACACACCACAGGTGCCACCTATCAATCTTCTTAGAGCAGCAAATATTCATTGGGCAATATGATTCAGCATTCTGAATCATAACAGGCCATAATGCACCTATCTTACTAAAGCAACAGGTTTTGATGAGCATTTTGATTGGTTGCATCTGTATGTTCTTAAGACCAGAAAGTTCAAAATGCTAACCTTGTAACTTGACATCCCTTTTAATGCCCAAACAGACCAGCAAGAGAAATACCATGCATCCTAATTTAAAAGAATATGTGCTAAATCTCTCTTCCTACAATTGTTCTATAAAAGTAAAATGGTATCTAACCCTTTGTGCTAAAAACATTAACTTAATCAGAAACTGGTCTCCAAGACTGATCAGATAAAGATCCTCTCAGCTAGCATAATTCTGTTCCCTATTTCCCTGTCTGTTCTCTGTGTCCCACCTTTCTGGTCTCTCTTTCGGTCTACTATCTCGTCTTATGCTTTATTTCTGTGTGTTGTATGTATATTCTTTATTATGATTAACCAGAGTAATGTATTTCAACATAAAATCCCTGATGATCCTCTGTCTTTTTTCATTATGTAAGCTCTGAGTTGCAACTGATTCAATTTTTTTACAATTTTAAGTTGAAACTATTTATTTTTGTGTCTTAAGACTGGAGTCATGTTATTTGACTCCTCTCATAAGTTATGAAAAACTAATGCTGTAATCTTGTCAGATGGCAGCACAGTGTTTTGAGTTTCATCCCAAAGTGCAAAATATGGATTTGTATCTCTGCTTACTATTAATGATCTTACATGGCACTGATGTTTAATATAAAGTTGTTATGCTATGTATTTATTCCCCTCCATGTGAACCTCACTTAGTTAATTTTGTTTGACTATGTTTTCCTACTTTCTCTCTACACTGAGTGGCAGGGCCTTTAGTTGATGCTGTTTATGCTAGAAAAGACTAAATCTTTTGTTTTTGTGATTGTTTAAACTTCTGGATTTTGGGCTTTTCACATTTGTCATTTTTATTTTTTTTACAGTCATACATGCATATAAGATGTTTTAAAACTCTCTAGGATGGTTGCTTTCAAAGGTGTTTTAAAACATTATGTTTAGTAGACTTGTGTTTTACTCGGTGGTTGGATTCCTGACATACTGTAGCACGTATGTTCTCAAAATCACATCTACAATTGAAAGAACGCCCCTTTAGACCCTCCTATTCCCCTCCCTTAAACAAGTAAACTCAATCGTTAGTGTAATATATGTATGTGTGTAGTTAGAAGTATTATGAAATACAGTACTGTACAGTATATAAAATAGCTTAAGAACGAATAATAATAAAATGTAGGGAACACTCATTATAATCTCCTAGTGATGATGAATATGAAAGGAGTGTGCAGATTAGTATAATAAAGACAATGATGATAAGCGTGCTCATCTCTATTCTATCTAACCAGATGGTTTGAGAGTTGTCAACTTCATACTTGTTTCTTTTCCCTCCAAACTAGTTTTTGGTTTACGAGCCACATTGAGGGTGAAGCTACTCCAAAAAGAAAGAACTAATAAAGAAAGCACCGGTGTGCTATAGGACTAGCTCCCTGTAACTATTTCCCAAAGTGTAGCTCAGGTGTGTGCTGTGCAAGATTGAAATGGCCATTTCTGCTTTGTTTCATTTTTCTTTTTTTTAATCTCCAAATACACACATTTGCATAACAATATTTGGCGGGAAATGTGAGTCTACTATAGTTTATTATTATATAAGTATTGCACATACACTTGGCACCTACTCCATATTTACCTTCCTTGTGTTTTTCTCTTCAGATTATCATACCTTTCCAGTCCAGATTACCAATTTCTTCAAAATTCTCTTGATTCTACCCCTAAACTGATTTTTACCCTTCTCATTCAGGTGTAATCCATTGCTCCAGTACAGAAAGCCATTGCTGTTAAAAGGGTGCTGAGAGTGTCTGAGAAAGCTGAATCCTTCTGTGACACACCATGTCTTCAGCAATGCATTTTTGCTCTATTTCTTTTTGCAGTTGCTTAGTTGCTTTGTGCAGCCAGTTCCCTAATAAATATCACCAAATATGGTTTGTTCTAAGGCTTGTTTCCAAGGATTTAAAATAGTTTTGCAAAGAAAGTGTTGTAATATTATTATTTATATGGTAATAATAATTTATGTTTTAGAACAGTGAATTTCTTCTGAATAAAGAATGGAAAATATAGCAATGGACACAATAGGAAACTACTAGAAAATGTACTTTAATATAAGAACAGGAGGCATTTCTCAACACAAAGGGTTGTGGGAGTATGGCCAGCTGTTGATGCATATTGGGTTGATAAAAGAAAAAATGCTTCACAAGATCCTTGGATCAATAAGCTACAGACTATTAAATGAGCTAAACAGGCCAAACGGCTTCTTGTTTATAATCAATTTTAGGTTGTAATGAATGTTATTTTAATGTCTTAAACAAAAATGGTGTTTAATTAGCATATTAGCCAATGTAATGCCATCAGTACACAATAAAATCATATTTCAAGATTTACAAATGGATAGTCATAAATCTGTACAAAGTCACACATTGCTATACAGAATGTACCTGTATAAAAAATATACAGTATATATATATATTTTACTGTGATGTAAACACAGTGTAAACAGTTGTTCATATCTTCCAATTTGGAAAAACAAATTAAAAGAAATGCATTGGGATTATGCATTGAAAACAGCTTATCCTTAGTAAGTCTGAGGTCATCTTGCTTCTGCCCTGTAAAGCTTATCCGCCATTGATGGGAATTGTCTGGTTTCCTGAGGTTGAGATTACTTAAACCATAATCTCCTTTCTAATCGTGTGGTAGTAGTAATCTCCTGTTAACATATATAAAATGTTTTCTTGTGCATCTCTTGCTTCTTTGTTTGTTGAGTTCACACATATTACCCTTTGTCTCAAATTTAATCATTCACTTGTTTAAATATCTTGTGTAAAATAAACAGAATGTCATAGCTCCTTCAGAAATTAAACCCATTTCTTGATTTTCATATGATTCTGTTTACAATTTACAATAAACTTGACATTTGATTTTTTTAAATTAAATTAATTACAGTTGGTTTCACTGATTTCATTAAGCATATTTTTCTATTTATGAATGCTTTCAAATGAAGATACTATAAATGTAAATGTTTAAATGAATTTTAATCATGGTAGGTTATGCAGTTTTTCAAAAATATTGTCTTCAAACATTGCCTCTGTATACAGTATATACAATAATAATATAATAATATTTAATGAAAACCCTAAATGCTCAAACTGAAGTCTTCTATTGGTAAAATAAGTTATATTTAAACTAAAGAGAAAAAATGTAATATGTTGATTGCATAAATATTGACACCTGAGAACTCAATATTTGATTAAAACACCTCTAGCAGGCTTGGTGCATTGTATGCTCATTCTTATTGACACAATTTTTTCAGGCTCTTAGTTTGCTTGGTGTTTGCTCATGGACAGTAATGTTCAAGTATTCTCATTAGGCTTCAACTCTTTTTTAGAGTAGAAATGGTGTCGACTGAATAATGTACTATGATGGGTTTGCATCAGATGTAACACTAAGATAGCATTTAGACAAAAAAAAACTATTTTGTTTTGTCAGACCACAAAGCCTTTTGCGGCAATATTATTTAGGTGTTTTGTTCAAACCCCATGCAGGATTTGAGATGTTTATTTTTCTGTTCCGTCCCTTTTTTGAGATATTGTTGACCCATGAACATTTTCTCCTGCCTCTTCCACTGAACTCTGTAACTGTTTCAAAGTTGCCACTGGCCACTTTTCTCAGTTTCCTCCTTGTTTGGCTGCTCATTTTGGAGGATTTAGTGACTGTGTGGGTGCCTTTCACTTCTTAATGATCAACTTCACCACATTCAAAAAGTTATTTTGATTCTTTGAAATGTGTTATTCTCTTTTCTTGATCTGTGCTTTTCAGCGAGAGATGTTTTGAAAGCTCCTAGGACTTCATTGTTGAATCTTTATCATATAAACCCTAAAAACTACTATTCATGCACACTCATCTGAAGGTGTGGACCATTAAGGTAATTTTGTGCACCTACAGTATGTTGTGTTAACATTTGCTACAGCAAAGGGTTTAAATGATTAAGCAATTGCAACTTGTTCCATTCTTTCACATTATCTATTCACTTCTTTTTACTTTTTTCTTTGAATTTGAAGATCACTCATAAATAGTTTTGACTGAAACCCAGGATTCCTGTGAACAATATTAAGTTGTTTCTACTTTCTTTTTCAGGAATTGAAGAACTTGACCAAGTTATAATGGTTCTCTTCACAACACATATGTTTATTGGTGGATTCTTTGGATTTATTTTGGATAATACCATACCAGGTAAAGTTCAATATTTTTTCATTTAAAAGTTTGGGCTTGAATAATTTAGATGTGGCCTGAGGTAAACCTTTGTAATTAAAATATTTAACAATACATTTTTCATATTTAACCAATAACAACAAATGACATGTATGTGTATACATTGTGTTCATTATACCGTATACTGTAATTGTTATATATATTAGTTCGTTTTATGAACTTAGGTATAAAATAATTAATCAAATGTAAAGTAAGATATAAAATAATGTTGTACAAAAGTTTGTTTGTTGTGTGAATCACAGTAAACATCACGACCGCCAGTCATCAGAGATCAACCCACAAACAAGCTAACCAGTTCCAGCAATGGAATAACGACAACAAACGCCAATGTACTGTACAGTACATGTTAAGCTATCACCACCTGCTGTACCATTCTGCACTCAGCTCTATTTAAACCCTTGAAACTCGCTACTCGCTGCTCGGTATTGATTTCTCTCCTAGAAAGCTCCTACCTTGCTCCTTTTTGAGAACCTCTTTTGTACGACCACATTCGGCTTTTGGAACTTACCTTTGCTCTTGACCATGAACCCGCCTGTCGATTCGGTTTGGACACCTGTGTTGTTTCTTCCTCTATTCTCTCTCTTGTCTGCAAAGAATCCTTCTACTTCATCACTTGGGTTCAATTACAGTAAATTATGGTTGTGTAATAACCCTACAATCACCTGTATTTTATGTGTCTCTGGGTTTTGCCAAGACAAACAGAGAGAAGTAAGCAAGGTACAACTCAAAGAGCACATGCACAGAGATCAGCAGAAGTAATGTAAAAAATAGATATTAGCAAAGATATATACAGCAAAAAGAAAAACATTTTTTTTGCAATAATACCAAAACCCACAGTCCATTCAATTAAAAAATTATGCCCCTTTCACAGCCTACAGTATATTAAAATATCTAATTTAATAAATGAAAATATAAATTAAATTATTTTTAATTCAGGCTATGAACTGAAGGGTTTTTTAATTTATTGTAATATACCTAGTAGTTTAAGTGAGTTCTGGCAAAATGTGTTTAGGGAAGCTAAGGATAGAACGTCTTCGTAATGCTATAGTCAAGTGTGGCACACCCATGGGCAGGGTGACATGTGAGGGATCTTTTGAAGCATGGTCTAAGATAAATGCTGCTCTTTTATATACAGTAAGGGAAACACAAAAATGACAAAATAAGACCCCCAGTCTTTTTGCACTGTTTTATATTTTTTCTTCATGACTGCAAGTGATATTCAACACATACTACAGACACCACCTTCTAGCTTGATCTTGTCACGTTTGCTGCTGTAAATGATATTGGTGGACCAGTAGGTGACACTGTTCCCCGGTCCAGAATTTCCAAATTAACACCCAAGTATGGTGACCAGTGATAATATAACATAGGAGTTTAGCAATAAATACAATTTGGTCTTATTGTGTATCTCCAGTAGCACAACTGGTGAAGCAATTCCCTTCTTGTCTGATATTCTCTGCAGTGTGCCTGCTGGCACATAATGGGTGCTACACATCACCCTTTTTATTCACTGCATTTCAGTGGTTGAAGTGAGCCCTCTCGTATATGTAAAACTTTTTGTGATAAAAAGATTTTATAAATTCAATTATTCCTAATTATTATATTTAAAAAATGCTCTTTATAGTAATTATATTATAATAAGGATTTAGACTTGAATAACATACTGCCTCTTTTCCATTTTGCAAGCCTATAAACATAGTGATTAGCGCATGTTAAGTATTACCGGTATTTCATAAATTTTAATGAATGATATTACTTCTGCACTTGAAAAATATTTATAGAATAACATCAAAGCTCTAAAATTCGTACTAAACAATTAAGATACTAAAGAATTACAGTATATCATCTGTGTAAAACAAGCTCCAGAAATTTATTTTCAGTTTCTTTCCAATTTTTGCAATAGACTTTTTTGTAATGACTCTTTTTTTGTCCAGGAAGTATAAAACAAAATGCATGTTAATATTTGATAAAATGTTTACAACTTTTGGTAAACGAGTTCCAAGAAACGTAGCTGCTGGGAATTGCCTTTTGTCTCAGTTCTATGAATAAAGGAAGGAAGTAAAATAAAGGGAAAACGCTACTGTCACCCATGAACTTGACTTGTTGTGTGTGCCAGTTTTAAAAATGCTTTATAATCAGATTTATTTTGGCATTCCATCACAAAGGAAAAAGGAGAAGATTAAGCAAAGTCACCAGAACCATTTGTAAAAAAACAGAAAATGGAAGATAACATATGTATAAGAAGACAAGAAAGGCCACAAATGAGAGAAAGCTGTTGGTTCCTTGGCCCCTTTGGTTGGTAGCAGTATAATATATAATATAATATGATAATATTGTCCATCTGTTCATCATCTGTTTTTTTTTTGACAGAGGCCAGGATACTAACATGGCTGTGTAGATTGTTCCATACTCCCAAACACTTTTGGCTAAAGAAGTTCTTCTTTTAATTGGATTTAAATAATCTTCTGGATAGTTTCAGTTTTGTTGTCCCCTGTTTCATTCTATGAAAAGTCTGCTGGGTTGACTATTTCAGTGCCTATTGACTATTGACTATTTGAATATTCTATAATGTCCCTTTATAATCTTTAGAATATATATACAAGATATTTTCTTTTAAGATCTCAGTGTTCCCCATTTTGTATTTATTGTTTGTTTTTGCTGCCTACATGCAAAACCATGCAAAAACATGCAAAACTAAGCCCTCATTAAACCCTGTCTGCGTTAAATGTCACCTCCCAGGTGTTTGTTCAATCTGAATTGTTTCAAAATCTTTTGAAGTTCATTTTCTGTCTACACTTCTGCAATGTTTTATAATCCCTCTAATTTGGTATCATCCAAAAACTTTACTAATTTTAACTACCCTATACCAGAATATACAGTAGATCACTGATATAAATTAAATACATTAGCAGTCCTACTATAGTACAGATTTTTGTGGCTCCAATCTGTACCCCAATTTGAGTACTCCTCAATTACCTGTATGCATTGTTTTCTGTTTAAAAAAACAATTCTCAAAAACATTTCCATGAATGCTTACCATGTACGATCTGTACAAAAAATCTATAAATATTACATCATATGTTTCGTGTGTGTCCATTACTGTTGTTGCTTGTTCAAAGAACTCTAACAAGTAAGTCAGGTAAGGCCTACTTTTCCTGAATCCATGTTGAATATTTCCTAGGATATTATTTCCATATATAGAACCTCAAGTTTAGTTAAATTTTTGTCCATAAATGTATGACCAATAGAAGTCAGACATATTGTTCTTTGAGTACTTGAGTAAGTTTTCTCACACTTTTTATGTATATATTACTTTAAAAAGTCTCCAGTTCCTAAGTATCACTGATGATTTAAGACACTGATGACAATGTTTTGTCAGTGGCTTCAGAATTTTTTATTTCCTTGAGTGTAATTTGTAAATGACCAAATCTAGGAATTTATTAATCTTTAGTTCTTCTTGTATCTTAACAACTTCTGCCTTTTCTAGACTAATACTTTTGCATTCCCACATTGTTCCAAAACTCGCTAAGCTTCCAAAGGGCCTCAATGACCAAATGATGACACTTCAACTCCATTTGGGAAAAAAACAAGTGTACAACAATTTCTTCTTTTGCCTGTTTGCATATTATTGACTCTTTCCTTAGAGAACACCTGAGTGAAATATCAATTTTGTACATAAGGCATTTCTTTTTTCTTTCCCATTTTTGTCTTGAATAACGTACTTCATTCTTCATGGGATGACTGTTGTTGGACTGCAATAAGTAATTTATTTTAGCTCCTAGTGTAATATTCCTAAGTTCAAGTTTTATTCTTTCTACCTATGCTTGCAGTTCCTTATACTCTGTTTCTTAAACTGAAACCTGATGTTTTTTTAAATATCTTAGAAAGTTTTTTTTTTTTCATTTTAACTTATGTTTTTCCTTTTTGACTGTTTTTAGCATTAATTAACTCTCTGTTCTACATTTTGTTCTATACACAGAATTTGTTAAATTGCTGCCATCCATTTTCTACAGATTTCATGTCTATGCTTCTCATTTTAGTTCTTTTAAACTATGTCTCATTTCTTCAAAGTCTTTTTTCTGAAAATTGTAATCATTTGATTTGCACTAAATCTGAACATAGCTTCCTGTTGATCTTCTCATTACTGTTTGTTTTACTCTTTCTTGATTGAAAAGACAAGACAATTTCCTATTTTAGGTGCTCTGATAATCTAGCCAAGAAAGTTATCATTAACAATGTTTGCCATTTTACTTTCTGCTTCTGATATTCCTGTAGGTCTTTCGTGTCTTTTTTGGGAAAGTTGAAATGTCCCATATCAACTTTTGCTCCTTTCACACATTAATTCTTATTCATAGTTGAAATACAATCAATATATGCAATTGGTAATCTACAGCATACTCCAAACATACCTTTAAAACAATTCTTAATAAAACAGACCTGTATAAATAAAGATATTTTTTCCTTAAACCAAATATTTTTTTTATATATATACTGTAGTTCTATAGCTCCACTTTTCCCGTCTCTCTGGAATTATGTCAAAGTAACTGTTACTAGGATACACAAATCTGTACATAATAAAACTGTTCAATAATGATTTTTAACTTCAAGAGCTTCATCAACTTCAGGATCCAATGAGTAAAAAAGAACTGTCCCTCACAGACAGATGTTCATCTGCATTTCTAAGCCTGTGATTGTGCACTTAAAGATGGATTTTCAGGCCCTGGTTAAAAGTATTACACAGAATAGGGGAAAAGACCTTTGGAACCTTCATTCCACTTGCTGAAGGAGAGAGATGCTACATGTTATTTGGATTGAATTTTGAAGCACATGAAATACTGAATCCGCACTGGAAGCTACCTTTGATATTAATACTTGTGAACAAAAATAAAGCTCTTAGGTGATATAATTACATTTAATTAAACCATTATGTATTTAAACATGGTATTGAAGCTTCATCTGTAAAATGGATAATGCCTCATCATCTGTTTTTCATTTAAAATGTGTTTCAGGCACAGAAAAGGAAAGAGGGATTAAAGCTTGGCGTGAACAAATATACCAGAACAGTGGAGGAGGCAGAAAAGACCTATCTTGCTATGACATTCCATTCTGCAATGAATGCCTCCACAAGCTAAAGTGTGCCCTGCATATCCCCTTCCTTCAAACATATAGGACTGCTGAACAAAGGACAAGAAATTAGAATACCTTTCACTTTATATCAGTCTATTCATTAGTGTCTGTCACAACTGTAACTTGATGCTTCAACTTAGCAAAGTCTGTGTTCTACTAATTATATAAAAAAGATGAGGAACATTCAGCTTCAAAGAAAATGTATTTGTGGGGATTGCAATTGTATTTGTACAGTATATGCAGTACCAAATTGTTGTCTAAACTGCATCAAATTATTAAACAACAATAAGGAAACCATTCATAAATGCAGTCCACTTTTATATTTTTTAACTTAAAAAAACAAATGTTTTTAACTAGACTCACTTTTCAGAGAAGGGAACTTTGTTTTAAGAACAATGCAGTCCAGAAAGTGTGTGAAATTGAACTCAGTTTTTTCTAGGTTTTTTGAAGGTTTTGGGTGTGAACATTTAAAACATCTGCTGGAAGTTTACAAATAATATCCATAAAGAGCGAGCAAAGAAGAAAGAATTAATACAAAATATCAATATAATATAGAATAATTAAATAAACTAATATAAAACATGTATCATAAAAGAAATATAACAAAATCCAAAAAGTGGTGTATCCAGTTTTAATGTTCGTTAAATACACTGAGCGGCCAATTTATTAGGTACACTGCTGATCAGATGCATGTCTTCATGGCAGCAGTGTACTCATCAGCAAATTGACTTTTTCACCAGGATAGTACTCCATGCCACAAGGCTGGAAAAGTCCTGGAATGGTTCCAGGAACTTGACTATGTATGAAGTTAGCTTAATGGAGTGGTCTCCCCTGTCACCAGATCTTAATCCCATTCAGCATCTGTGGGATGAAACAAAACAGGCTATTTGGAGTAGAGATCCACCACCAGCTAATTTGCAAAAACTGTGGGGCACACTGGAGTCAACATGGGTCAGTATCCCTGTGTTGCACTTTCAACACCTTGTTGAGTCCATGCCCCCAATAATTTCAAGTTGCTCTGAAGGCAAAAGTGGGATCAACTCACTAATAAGCAGGGGTACCTAATAAAGTGGCCACTCAGTGTATATTTTCACATACTCTGTTCATCACACATACAAGATATTCATGTTTTTTAAACCTTTATTTAACCAGGTAAGTGAATGGAAATCAAAATCACATTTACAGTGATGACCAGGAGTTTGTCAGATTTGGGCATTCATGGAACAATTTGTATGAATTTCTTCAAGACTGCAAACAGAAGCATTACACTAGGGATAATGTTTATGTCTATTCTGTTTACCATCCCAACTCTAATAGTATATTTTTGAAGTGTGATTCTGCATTCTCTGCTGGTCCAACAGCAAATTTTCTCTAGTCTTTGTCTCATTCCCTCATTATTTCATGTTGTAGAGTAGCGCTGTAGTGAAGTCCAGGGCTTAGTAGTGTGGTACTAGCATGAAGCAGTATACCCTGCTCTGCACTAGAGATATTAACAAGACATGGCCTGCAGGTTCTCTCATTAAACGTAACACATAAACAGACAAAAGAGATGTCCTAGTTTTTCAGCTAAAAAAATATTTCTTTCTTAATGCTTCTCCAGTCTATTTCTCTGCCGTGACAATATTATTATAGATCCCTGACTGACCTCGGTATGAATCAGGTATTTCAAGTGTTATATAGTCAAGTCAAAGGACCCAATTGTATAAAATCATGATGTCTCCTGAACATTTTGTACTCTGTACTTTTAAAATCATCCTCTTCATTCTTTGTATATCAAGTTTTGGACTCTTTTATCATGTTGTAATTGTTTGCTAGGTCTTTTCCTTTTAAAACAGCCTTTATTCCAATGCTGGTAGTATTGAGCTATAAGAAACCAGTTGCTTAAGGGTTTTGGTTCAAATGTGTATTTTGTCTGTCTGAACTTCATTAGTTTATCAACTGTACTGTATTAATTTCAGTTAACACCTTGAAAAACTATCTATATTGTTTAGATCTTGAAAAAATATGACTTTTTAAGTTGCATCAATCAACTAATTAAATAATAATTAAATTAAGAATCATTTAGCTTTATTAATTAAATTAGCTTGTAAATATACGCGGTTACATTTTCCTTCCAATTTACAAACGTTTATTTAAGCCAAACAAATATTAATTTAAATATTTCAGTATGCTTTCCAGACATACAGTTTATGTAGTTCTTAAGTGTACTAATTATTGTTAAGTATATCCTTTTTAAGGCACTTTTCAATTTATTCCCATTATTTTAGGCATTCAGACACACAACAAATTAAAAAATTGGACAAGTAAGGGAGCAAATAAAAAGCTCAGTACTTTTTAAAGATTGCATAAATAACTTTCAAGTACATTTTTCTGGATATACATTATAATAGAACCTTCATTAATGTATATGATAGCATCTAAAAAAAGTGTCTGAGTGTCTTAATATGCAGCTATTGGTATTTTAGAAATCCTTTTGAAGAGTTTCAAGACTACTGTTGTGGGAAAGAAGAACATCTGAAACAGTTTATCTGACACTGCCATCAGTTATGCCAAAGGCCACATGTGACACATAAAACATGACCCTGGAGCTCATAATGTGTTCATTACACATGAGTAAAAACGGAATATGTAACTGAACTGGTAATTTTTTAACCTCCATTTAATCTTGCAATTGAACACTTTTTTTGTGTTTTTAGGGCAAAGAAAATGTGACAATAACTTTAACTGCTATTTGAAGCTTGATCAACACTTGATTTCTTGTGAACCTAATCAATTTCCCTTGTTTTTTTGTGTACCGTTCTTTTGATTTTTTTCTTCCTTGTGGTGTATTTGTTATGGTTGTGCTAACCAGATAAAATAAATAAAAACACATTTCCACAGATGTTATAGGCAGTTATGTAATCACATTTTGGGAATTGGGAATGAATTACAGGAGAAATTAATTACCAAATTTGAATTAATTACCAAATACTTGTTACTGAAATTAGTGATTTTTTTAAATTCCAGACAGCTAAAAACTCAAATTGCATCACATCTGGCTACATCAAGGTTTTTTTACGTGTTTGTAATTTCAGTTGACAATCGCATTTTGTAATAGATTTGCACAGATTTTAAAGTTTACGTCAATGAGACTCCTACCATGAACATATCCTTTCTTTTACAAATTTATTTAATTAACTTACAGACTAAATTGATCTACTTAGTACTTAGTGTTTAGCGTAGACAGAACATAAAAAAAAGTTCATGATGTTTGCATCTCCCTTGTAATTATGCCGGTAAAGATTATGATTCCTGGCTAAAATATTTTTTTACTGTATTTGTTTTTCTATAAACTGAAACAAATGTTCATAATTATAGTTTCCTAAATGCAATACTGAGTTACAGAAAAACAGCTGCGGAATAAATATAGATTTAAGTATAATGCAATTTTTACGTATGTGATGTGGGGCAGCAAACATTTTAGATGCAAGCTTTTTGGAATCCTGTTACTGTATCTCTAGGCTGTTTGGAATGACAGTTTTGGTGAGAAGCTGTAGTATTAAGGGAAAGAGCACAAAAGTAGGTTTTACAGTACATTTAATACAACCACAAAAGTCTTTTTGAATGATCTGGCTTGTCAATGCTACTGTTTCAGCAGATGATATGCAGCATTTGTCTATTTCAGACTATATATTAGAATATACAGTATATATCAATTTTAATGTTGTGTTTCAGTTTTAATCCTTTCAAGGAATTGTGATCAAATAGCTGACCAACATAATAGATTCAATTTCCCTTTATTGAAGGGGCAAAGACTTCAGCATTCTCAAACCATGAACTGGCACCATTCAGAGACAAATGCCACATGCATCCACACAGCCCCACATGCTTTCAGAAGAGGGTTCCTTCCAGGGATACCAAACACACAGCGCAAAAGGGCAGCTAGACTGAGGAACACAGTCACAAACCCACAACAGCAAAGCCTCAGAATACAGTCTTAAAAGAAATGGATGCTGCACATACTTTCATCTACAGTGTTTACATTCAATCTCAATCCAAAGATCAGGGTATTCCCAGTCATCTAGAAACAAACTTCCCAGTATCCAGTACATGTGGGGGCACTAGTCTACCTGCATTCTACACAAAATAAGTCAGTAGTCAGCACTATTATATAATGAACTGATCATGAGTAATCACTTAGTTTTGCATATCATACTATATTTGTCCCTTGAAACAGTTATAAATATTCAGCATTAGCAAAGTAAAGCCTCGCTTGTGCTTACAGGACTTATTGAACATAAAATTACTTCTGCTTCATAACTATAATTATAAGTGTATTATAAAAATAGTATGAAAAGTATCACCCTCAACATTGCACCAGATTTGTATAGATTTTGAATCCGTCACATTTTAACTGAACATTCAGCATTCCTGTATCAGAAACTACATAAACTGAAGCTTTCTTCTCATAATAGTACAGTTTGTATTATTACCTAGTGGGTGAGTACCCTAACACAAAAATGTGTATTCAATCTTAAGGGCTTTCAGTGCAGTTCTAGATTTCATAGATCCTAAATAATCACTAACTGTTATGACCCCAAGTGTCTAAGGGTAAAGGGATGTAACATTTAAGATAATTATTTTGGAAGCAGGTGGGTTTTGGTGAGGGACTAGGAAGCGAGATAAGGGTAAGGAACTAGAGTGGTGCCAAAGAAAAGAAAATAAACAAAATGGAGCTGGCTAGGAAGGTGAAGGAAAGCTAACCTGGCTACAAAAGAAAACCAGAAACACACAGTCTTTGGCATCTTCAACACCTTAGACAAATGGCACTCACCCATACTAAACTAATGTACTAATACAAAATCAACTAAGTGTGTAAAGTGTACCCAACAACCTAAACTAACCTTATACACAGAAGTTCACACAAAAACACAAGTGAACCAGGAATATAAATAAGGGAGAACAAGAGTAATCAACAGGAACTGGGTAAAAAAGAACACAAAGGTTGAACATATTACATGTTAGGGCATGGTTATGGCAAAACCAGGATAAACACACAAACAAACGAAAGTACAAAGAAACTATCAGAAAACCAACAAAACAACAAAGCCGAAGCTATACAAAAATATACACACACACACACAAACCAAAACAAAACAAACCAACGAAGCAATAACCAGAAGCGATGCGATGCGATGCGATAATCAAAACCAAATGGGACCGAAGTCAAACGAAAGGCCTCTCCTTAATGAAAACCTCCATGTTATATGCTGAATAAGATATAATTGGCTGAGAGCTAATTGATGATGACATCATAC